CTTATAAATCCTGCCTAAATCCTTTCTGCAACCTTCCTGGACCCCCTAAACTGTAAACCCTAAAAGGAAAAACACTTAGATGTAGGGGCCTTAATAATCAGAATAGGGTTTTGGGGCCCACTATACTACAGTATAGTTATTCTCAGGAATAATAAGGAACCCCAAAAATAGCGCTGGTATTTATCTCGGCCCCTACACTAGGGACACAACATACGGACCCGCCGGGGTCCCAGCGGCAGCAGCAGCAGCCTCAAAGAGAGGCGCCTGTCTCCCAGATCAGGGCTGCAACTTGAAGTATCCTCTACGTAGGCTGTAGGTTCTTCATATATGGTCTCGACACAATCTTGCACGGATTTATGGGGTCCTGCATAGCTTCTTGAAGTTACTTGCGGAGCTCCATGGTTAAGCTTCCCCTGTCCAGCGACAGTGGTCAAAACATGCACCGGGGCATTGACCTGGCATACTCCTCTCGAAATTTTGATGCGAAAACATAGTTTATTTTGCCAGTGTCAAAGGTTTTCTACAGTCTTATAAGAGGTTTGTACGGGTTTGTGAAGCTTACGGCTGCTCGGGATTCGCCACACCACGAAGCTCCAAGAAATCGCGAACTGAAACTCGAAACCCGTGACTCCGAAGCACCGAAGCGTAAGCGCTAAAGCCCTAAACCCTAAAGCCACACATCCCAAACACCCAAACCCTCTACCCGAGCTTCGCAAGCCACCAAGCCCCGCTCACCCTAGACGAAAACAGCCCCCAAGCCCCAAACCAAAACCGGCACAATCGTGAGACCAGGGCAAAGGAATGCTATTATACTACAAGCAGATTGAGACCCTACGGATAAGAATATCTACTAGCCATTCCAGACCCTCTATCGTGCCCCGAACCTTTTGTTGATCTTATGGTTAGTTTTTTGCAGTTTTACGGAGTTCAGGCCCTGATATTCTGCCCCACCGAAACCCCAAAGACCGCGCATCTCCGAACCTCGTCTTCTTCGTGAAACTCCTCCTGCGTCTCCCCGGCCATCTGTGCCCGTTGGGGCGCTTAGGAAAGGAGGCACATAAGGTTGCTATATGAGAGCGTCGGTTTAGGGTTTAGGGTCTAAGACTATATCTACGCATCACGCCCCATACACTCTTGCAAAAACTCTGTAGACACGCTTACACGAATCCTTACGAGAACCCGTATCGCAGATCCCAAATAAGAGCCCTGAGAGAAACCCTTCAAGGAACCGTCCAAGGAACACTTGCCGAAACCCTTACAGCAACCCATACAGGAATCCAAGAAATGCCACGTAGCTCCCCCAGTGGTGTCATTATTGGACATATTAATTTTATTAGAATGCTTGAAATGTTGATACTTTTGATATTACTAATACTACTCTTCATAATATTTCAGAATATCACTAATATCAACATTCATATTCGCAATATGTGTTCCGTCTTCTTAGTATGACTTATTATTCTCAGTATTCTTCTTATTATTGTTACTACTAACACTATTAAACTGTATTTAATATTGGGTATATGAAGAATAATGTTACTCGTCTTGTTATTACTCTTACTGTTGTTCTTATTTTCTGTTGTTACACTAGTCTTATTGCTGTTGAAGCTGTTATTGTTATGATTACTATTACTCTTATTCTCAACCTTACTCTTATCATCATTATGATTATTGTTCTTACTATTGTTGTTCTGATTCTTATTCTTACTCTTATTCTTACCCTAAACCCGAAACCCCTATGATTATTCTTCGTACTGTTGCTACTAAATATGTTCTTCATTGTTCTTGCTTCAGGAATCTCCGGAGCCTCGGCCTCCGCTTCGGCCTCGCCTTCCAGGATCGCCTCCTTCGTTATCTTGGGGTCAGCGAGGGGGGGAGGGTTTAGGGTTTAGGG